AGGTCATTACGTGTTGATTGTGAAGATGCAAAGTCTAGTGGTAGAGTGGCGATCGTTAGGGCAGCTTGCTTTCTTGAATGTCTCGAACTTTTAGATTAATTGGTTGTATCAGGTAGAGTTTGAGTATCACCTACCTATTATTAAAAAAAAAATCCATGTACTCGTGAGAAAAGAAGTCAGATGCATGTGAGAGAGTGTGGTGCAAACCTAAATAAATAAAATGTTCCTTCAATATGACCAAGAAGCACGGAACTATTCAATTTTCGAGCAAATGAGAGGGTTGGGAGAAAGGTGGTTTTATTTGATTTACACTGAGCTGGAACCTCCAAAAGTACCTTTTTCTCTATTTGATGATTCCTATTAGGACGAAACTAACTGCAACTTTTCAGTTATTGCAGTTCGTGCCTGAGTTTTGTAATCCTAGGAATTTGATACAAAAACATACAATTGGTTTGGCATATTTGCACACTGTCTCAATCTGAGATATGTTTGCTTATAACGAACAGTAGTACTTCAGTGTTGTGTGAAATTATCTTATGGCCATTGTATTTTCAGCCTTAGTCTTTTGAAGTCTGAATTTCTTATGATCTGTGTTTCTTTATCTCCAGATATGTCCTCTATGTGCTGTCAAGGTGCGAACGAATATGGCTACACATGTCATCGTGCAACATGAAAGTATACTAAAAATATCCTTCACTTCCTTTATTCCAATTTATCAGCTTTACATAGTCAGGTTAAGTGTAGGAGTTATTGACTTTTCATAGCTGATTGTAAGAGAATAGCAAATCAAGTTTCGTAGTTGTTCTTTATAGTCAATTGGGAAGATACTATAGAAATTTCTGCGTTGAGTGAGTCTGGATTAGTGAGCTTGATATTTGTTTATATAGTGAACTGGAATGCAGTAGCTTCTCAATTTTGCTCTGTGTGTTGTCTAATTCATAACTTCTAACATCTTCATCAATCATTATGCTTAATGAAAGATAGTGGCAGATGCCTTCCTTTTTATAATTAAATATTATTAAGAAAGCGACACTTCGGTACCGTTGCTGCTTCCAAATGTTATTAACTTTGCCCTCTTTCCCTTATCCGAAAAAGAAAAAAAAACCTTGTCAACTTTCATGTTTATTGGTTTATCTGAGTTATTTCCTTGAGCATGATTCTGCATCAGTCATTATTTTAGGAGAAATGTTATATTTTGTTTATCATATGAGCATGTGGAGCTATAAGTTGATTTACCTTAACAAACCTTAAGCTCTCAGCAAAAAGAAACTTCAAAATGGTGGATCTTTCTCAGCCTTATCCTTACTGAGGAAAGAGTTGCTGAGTGCTTATTTGGAAAAGAAATCCAGCCATGTCACTCCTTCCTCTAATACGGCAACCAACCAGTTACTGTTATCATTTGTCGGCAATCAGCAGCCTTCCAAAAGACTTCATACAAGACAATCCTGCACTTCAGCTGAAGCAAGTTCATCTGTAAACAGCCTAGATGACCATGTTAGTGAAAGGTAAGAATGTTATTATGATTTAATTTCAACAGTTTGGTCATGGTTCTATGTGTTATCTCTCATCATCTGCCAACACCAAATGGCACTGATCACGATGATGAAAAAGGACAAATTAGTGGATAAAAGAAAGCTGGATATATAGGAGTAGGCACACTCAATATCTTCCATTTGTTAGAAGCTTGTCCTTTATCAATTATTGTCATTGCAAACTAATTGGAGAACAACAGCTTGTAACTTAATTCGAACTTAGAACCAGACTTGATCTGATCACTGGAGACAACCGAAGCACACAAGCTGGATAGGTAGCTAACTAGTTATAGTTTTGGTTCATCTAGCAATGATAAGTTCCTCATACTTTTGCTTGGTTAAATTTCATTAAATGTGATCGTTCATGGAAACAATGATGTGCATAGAGCGTTGTTGCTTGAATTTACTTTTGATTGCTGCTGATTATACTTGTATGCATCACATCTCTGGATTATGCAAGAAGTGATCTTGGCAGTAAGTTAGATTAATTCGAGAACTCAGGTGTCCTTAAAAATTTTGCCTATGCTGGATATGTAGTGCTTTACATATATCTGAAATTGTGAGAGAAAACCTAGTTTAACAATTTGTAGGGAATATAATAGGAACATCAATGCATGATTGCCAAGTTTTTGGATTTTGTTATTCCCTTGCTAAGGAAAATGCTGTAGTTCCATTTGCTAAAAGTTAAAAAAGCTTCACTCAGAAGGCTTCTAAAATCAAGCCAACTTCGAGAACTCATGGAACCATTTGTTTTTTTTTCTTTTTTTTTTTTTTTAGGTTGGGGGGGGGGGGGGGGGGGGGGTTCATTTCTCCCAAATTTTGTTACTTTGTTATCACAGGTGAACAGTAGGGCAATAAAAAAAAGGTCATTTATGCATTCTTCTCAAAAATTTGTCAGGAAGACACTGTATCACCATTTATTTTTATTTCTTCAATCTGATTAGCACCAGGAGCATGCCAAGGTTAATTCTGATACCTGATGCTTTCATCCAACGGTTTTCTCCTTCTTTTCTCTTACTATATATGTAACAATATCTTTCTTGATCTTCACCATCCTTCTTCACTCTGTCCTTTCCCTTTAATGCCTTCCCTTTTGTAATTGATCTAGTCATTTTGAACGATATTTCATTTAGCCCTACAACAACATTTTCCTGAGCCAAACCTTGAGTGACATAGAAGCTGGTTATTTTTCTGATGTTGTTTTCCTTCAATTAGCAAGTTCAGTTTTTGTTTCATGAGTAACTCAAGCATAGGTGGCAAAAAATGATTGCTTTGAAATGAACATAGCAGGAAATACCACATTGTAAGTGAACTACATAACATATTCGCTTGGTCTAAGCGTCCATGGCACTGAATTTGGAACTTGAGTTGTGTAGAGAACTTTAGATGTATCTTTTCCTGAATGCTTGCTAAATGTTATTCTAGGAAAGCACGTATTATCCTTTGGATTTCTTGCTACCTCCTAACTTACATTTGCCTGGATGGTAAAAGTTGACTCTTTTCATTTTAATCAAATCCTTGTCAAAGAAGGTCCCAACCGTTTCCTTCAATGGACAAGGATCAGGAAGAGAAGTTCCAGAGATCTGAATTTGTGAAAGGACTATTGCTCTCCACCATACTCGAAGACTATTTATGAAACTGAACATCAGTGCTTCTTTTCCATTATTTGGATACTGGCACAGAAGCTCTTTGAAGATGCTCCACGAAATATGATGATTAAGTTATTAGCAGCTAGAAGCTGTTGGTTGGAGTTAAAGCAGTGTTCACCTTGTAGTTGACTTGCTCCCTGCTGTGGTTGCCTATGCAAAGATATGTCCGGTTAACATGCTTTAACACAATTCTTTCAATTAAAGTGACTTCAGCGTGCTATTTCTCTTTCTTTGTTTCCCTCTTAGCTGATTTAGCTTATACTACATCATGCACTTGACTATCCGTGACTGGAAACAGAAATTCCTCATTCATATAGTCAGATCCAAAAGGACTAATTATGAAGTAGCATTTTTACGGTCATTGTCACATTTTGCAAAAGAAATTAGATGTCATTCTTTGAATTGTTCATGTGCAAGTTTCTTCAGCTTTACATTATAGTCCCTTGCTTCATGCTATTTTATCCTCATATAGTCTAAAAGCAGAGTGAATAATGTAGTGATGACTTGAATATCGTTTGAGAATTATGTGACATGAGTTCTACATGTTGGGATGGGGAAAACATGGAAGTTATCACGGAATAGGTAGATTATCGAAGGCTACTAATTTAGGATTGGCTACTCAAACAGTGACATCCAGCAAACGACTCCAGTCCGTGGCTATCATGGAGAATGGGGTACTAATTAATGAAATCGAACGAAGAATACCTTCCTCTTGTCTTTAAAAGACTGACTACCTTGATCGACCTTTACTATTTCTTTTGGACAATGCTTTGCTACCTTCTGAAACTATTTTGTTGTACAGAGTTTAAAAGGCTATTGTGATATTTCTATTAAAAAGGAATTAGTGATGGTAGAAAGAGGACTTTGAAAATATCACTTCAATTGAATTTGAATAGTCCATGAAGTCGTCAGGTTTCTATATCAAACGATGCTAAACATCTTGTGATATTCTAAATGCAAAGGAAGCCAGTTACACTTTCTTTCACTGGAGTTAATATTTATAGTAACAATGAGTTATGATATTGTAACAATTTACCGAAATTTAGTCAATGGATCTAAGTTTTTGGTAGTTATTATATTGGAATTAGAACGAAATTTGGCACCAGGTTTTCTTTGCCTGATATATTGTTCTGATCTCATCAACCTTCAATCGACAAAAATAAATAGTGAAAATCCTACAAATAAGTTTTGTTTCCTTCTCACGCTTCCATTTTTTTTTTTTTTTTTTTGCGGATTGGATATGAAACTGGTTAGCTTCTAATTCTCGTTTGGTCTACTGCTTCCAACGATGGTTATCCGAGAGATGGGAGTAGAATATATAAGAAAATGTTTATTTAAAAGAAGTTGTATAACCCTAAACCATATAATCACACGAACAAGTCTTTACAAACTCAAAACCATCTTCGAGGTCATGAAGAAAATTGTTTTCTTACACCTAAAAGCTTCACCATTGTTGCAAACCCAATCCACAAAATGTCATATGGTTAATGAAGAAATTGATACCTAAATACCATAACCTATACTAGCACACTTATCCATTGCAGTTCCCACTTCACTTATGTCATTGTCATGAACCAGATTCTCTTGCAAAGAAAAGCCACCTCCCATGCACCCTTTCAGTTAAGACTATAAAGCGTTCAAGAAAAGAGAAAATGACCCATTTAATTTTATCATACCCTATAATGATAGCAACAGAATTGTCGTCAACACAAACTCAGAAAGTACTCGGCTGCATATGCTGCTATTGGCATAACTTAATAGTACTTCATACCATAGACTGGAGTCCAGGCAGTTTTGAAACTGGAGTCCTCAATGCCTATGAAGATCCAAAGATGTGGATTAAGAATATAAGGAAAGAAATCATGAGATTGCAATTTCAGGAACACAACGTACTGGTTGTATGAATTTGACAAACTATAACAAATATTTCTATCAATTTTTATGTGCAATCTGAGAATACAGGTTCCAAATCTTTCGTCACTATCACTTGTCAAGAACTTCTGCTCCTGACTCAACAAAGACAACAGGCCTATCCATATCAGAAGATTATATTTTATCCACCCCAGCAAAGCAAAGAAGGCAGGGTAATGAGGAGTCCTGCCACATTTCAGGAAACAATCATAAAGTACAAAGCAGCAGCATTTCCACTGTGAGCGTCAAATAGACTCACTGAGAGTTATCACGCCCATCCGATCTTTTTCTCCCTCAATCCAATACAAAAACCTTCCACATCAAAATGGAAGGCTTAATGGAGATATGGATCTTTGACCAAGATTGGTCAAAGTCTGGGGTTTTAGATCTCAAAACTTTTTAACCAAACTGACAATCTAAGTTTCTCCCCATTATCAGCAAAAACTTAGGAGCTTCAACAGCTGGATCATCTCCATGGAGAATAGTGCACACGGAAAAACTGGTAATCGGGAAGGATAACCTGCAAGCGCCGAAGCCAACTGTCTGCAGCTTGCAATAGAGAATCTTCTTGCTCGGATTCATGAGGTCCACATGGACTCAAGATTGACCCTTTCAGTTTGTATGTGGCAAGGCCAAAGACTGGTAAAGAAATTCTTGAGCATGCATTTACATTGCCAAGAACTTTCCTGCCAGTTGCACCATGGTAGCGTGGCTGAACTGTACTCAGAGCTAAGAAAATGACAGAAACATTACTTCAGAAAAAGCACTAGGAAGTAAAAACACACATGCATACAACAAATACATAAATCTGTCTGTTTGCACACAAAGGGTGGACATACCTCTGGATTGTGTAGACAAAGAATGAAAGGTTAAGAAAGAAGCATCCAGATCCCGCAACGTGGGACCCATTGGTATTCTGTATATAGGATACCTACAACACACTGAAGTAGTCACAAACTAAAATGCAAAATAAGAGCTTCAAATATCCTCATCGTGCTGCAAATTACTCTAAGTTCTACAGGGTTGTAAACATACCAAGCTACAGAAATCCAACTAGAAGGCAGTAAATCACAGCTCCTGCACTTCTTCAGCACTGGAAATTGAGATGCCAGAACTGCTATCTGAAAAAGAAGATATGAATGCAGAACAAAATACACATTTAGAACAAAGAAGTGATTCATTTCAAAGACTAAGAAATGATGTACCTTGTCAGCCAGTGGTCTTCGATGATGTGGTTGCTCCTGTTCCAAATACTCGAACAAGAGCACCCCAAGAGAATTCGAAATTTCAGCTTCATCGCTCGATGAACCCGTGACAGACTTGTCCCTCAATGATAGTCTATTTAGTCGCTGGGCATTTTGATTTACAAGGCTGTGCTGGTTCCACAGCCCATCATAAGAGGATTTGGACCGCCTCTCTTCACAGTCACTGCTTCCACCACTACTGGTCTCCCTTGATGAGTCAGCATCACCCTCTTCACCAGGCCTCCTGGATAAAACAAAAGGAACACAAGATACAAGGTAGGATTCATGTTAAAATGCCCAACTGTGCCAGATGAAGTTTTCTTTAGGTGAAAGAAAGAAACATTAGCTAAAATATCCAATTAATATTCACAATAACAGACAATAATAGCAATCAGTTAATCGGCTTGGACCAAACACATTAGTATCTTTTTTTGACAAGTAAAAATCATAATATGTTGACAAGCTTCTTCTTCGATTTACTATTTCTGGAGAAAAGGTCCACATAAGTACAAAAGAACAAGTCTCACCATCAAATATGGAAGATGCACCAAGTACCAAGTTACTTTAGCCACTTTAGTAGCTAAAGTGGGTGTCTACAGTTCCGAAGCTAACCCTGTTTCTCACTGAACAATTTCAGGTGCTGCTCCAGGTTCCCATCTCACAAGTACCATAATAAAACTAAAACCCCAAAATTGGAAACCTGCACTAATTTGGCATGTGTGTTTCATTACCACGAAATGGTAATATCATGAAACAGATCATGAATCTCTAACATCAACCATTCTACTAGCCTATGGAAAGTGCCAAACAGATAAAAAGTCTCAAGTTGTCTATGCAAAATTTGCCTTGAAACCAAAAGGTTTAGTTTCAGAAAAGGGAATAGCAGCACCAAGATGAGTTGCAGAAGAAATTAGTTCAGAAACTTGTGAAATTGCTGGTGCCTTCAAAAAGGTACATCCACCATTTACCAAGCAAGGGATCACCGAATAGCCTATCCAGGTAAGCCTGTAGGGTAAAGTACACCCGCATTTTAACACACCCTCAACACAGCAGAAAGATATTAATAGCAAAATAAGGAGAGAGAGAACCATGCATTTACTTCGGAACTGGCGATAATCCAATTGGTTAAAAATGTTTTAAATGGTTAGAGAGATGAGGCTGTTAAAATATCGCTATTAGTTAAGTAATAATGAAGCTTAAAGGGCATCCAGAGTAGAGTCTCAACAATGTTCAGACAAGTCATGCAATGCGAGAAAAGAAGTTGTGGTTGCAACATAAACAAAATGTTAATGTATCATTACATTATAACTTTGACGGATTAACAAGTATCATCATAAGGAACAGTAATTACAAGCAGCATGCACAACTGACCAGGAATTCATTCAATGATCAAATGGAACTTTGATTTATTAATGGAAAGAGCCATCTAAACACAGGAATGACTGCTGCTTAATTACTCCTGGTTCTGCAAGAAGTTCTTTCCACAAAGCAAGATGTAAGCAGATTTTATTCAAGTCCATGTTGGATCTGCCACTATTGGAACACAACAACTTCAACTAGTAGAATATGATCATATTACCTAGTATTTTTTTTGTATTACCTAATATATTTATTTTATTAACAGCACAAGCTTGAATGTGCGGTGAGTATGATCAAGAGGGAGCAAGCCAGTGAAACACAGCTTTACTGCTACTTATTACACTTCAGAGAGATATTTTCACACAGGCAAGGTTTTTTGTTTTTTTTGTGTGTGTGGGTGGGGTGTGTGTGGGTGGGGGGGGGGGGGGGGCTCTAATAAATGAGAACCAGCAAATGCACAACCAAGAGCACATTAAGTGAAATGTGAAGGCTCTATTGATGTCATTTGAGTATATTAACTAGTGATTTATTGTTTTTGATTAGTATATTAACTCATATGAATATACTAATTAATGTTGTACTTAAGAAATAAGCTCCCATAATGGAGAAGACCAGGAACCATAGAGGCCTTTAAGGACAGGGAAATTCTCATTAAGGATGTTGCAGGTCTCAGTTTTCTGTTATGATTTATCTTTGTCGGTCTAGACTTTTGTGCCAGCTCAGATTCAGAGCAAAAATTAAAAACTATTTAGTGGGCGTTTGGACATAAGAATTGTAAAATTCCAAAAAAGGGTGAAAAATTTTTGAAATGAAAATAGTATTTGAAATTTAGAGTTGTGTTTGGACATGAATATCATTTTGGGTTGTTTTTGAAGTTTTGTGAGTGATCTGAGTGAAAATTGTGAAAAATAGCTTTTTGGAGTTTTTCAAATTTTCGAAAAATTCCAAAATGCATCTTCAAGTGAAAATTGAAAATTTATGAACAAACATTGATTTCGAGAAAAAGTGGAAACTTTTTGGAAAAAAGAAAAAAATTTCTTATGTCCAAACAGGCTCTTAATACCGACGGTCAAATACCATCAGCGACGTAGATTTAAGCTAAGTTGCGGACTCTTCGTTTTTGGTGCTGCACCCATCTCGACACGGGACGGGAGCGGTGCGGGATACGTCTCGGCCGTACGTCATATGTGTAAGTCGGTATATCATGTTGGGTCATCCTATGCCGAGTATTCCCTCATGATTTATTCTGGTTATCTCATGACAGCCTTTCTGGTTCATTTACCTATGATAATATGACACGAAAGATACGTTAACTTCGGATACTTTGACCTGCGTCCATCGACAAATTGGGGGTAGGGGGGACTGAGATTTTGATTTCTCAAAAATAAAAACAAAACAGATTTAAGACATGGGAAATGGCATACCTTCAATATGTAGTACTTTTGTCTCATATTATGTTGCTTTGTGTTTGAGAAAAAACAAGAATTCAAGAGGCCGTGTTCTGAGTTCGAACTTCTGGTAGACAGTATCAGCGATATAGATGGAGAGTTGGTGGAACGCCTTGAATGGCTTTCTTTTTCTCTTTATCGCTCTATTTTTCATAATTTTGAATTTTTTTATCCAAATCCCCGCACCCGTATCCATACCTGGATCCGCACCCCCGAATCTTAAAATTTAGATTTGCCGAATCCGACACTCAGATCCGTGCCCGTATCGGATGCCCGCACCCGAGTCCGAGCAAGTTAGGATTTAAGGCATCCATCTAATTTGTTATCTTAATCCATTCTCTAAGGCAAAATATGCAAGACATACCTTTTTATCTTTTTGATAAGGTAAGATATTATTGATGAACAAGAAGAACAAGAAAGTGCTACACAACCACTAAGAATATGCAAGACATACTTGTAGTTTATTAGTATAGAAAGAACTCCATAAAATTATAGCATATGGTTAGAATGCACGTTAGCAAAACCCTAAACAATTTAACACCACCGAGAACCATCAACAAGGTAAATCGTAAATAATTTAATGCAACCATCAAGTTGGTACTCTCAATATACTCTTGTCTATTTAATGCACCTATCAAGTTGGTACTCTCAATTTTCTTCAACAAGCAGCATAAAGCTTTCTATGAATCACATCACACTTCTACAAACTGCATACGAAATATCCATCCAAGAGTTGGGGGCCGTGGATAGATGATATGGACAAAATAACAGACTGCAATATAAAACAGTCAACCATCACATGCAATTTAGTAAACGTTGTAAGTTATCAAAAAGAATAAAACGCTATCCTAAGCAAAATTATGAAATAATCTTATTAAAAAGCAAAATTATGAAATAACTACCCCTTAGCTTCTATTTTAAGGCATCATTCGCAACGAAAAGATATTCCCATAAATGACTACCAAATAGCAGTGTCTTAAACTACACTTCGACGTCATAAAATCCATGATTCCATGTGAATCCTATTCCCTCTGAAGATTCTATTCATCCTAATCATCTCAACATCCCATTTGCGGCATGGAGAGTTAATAAAGTCTCTCATAAGGGGGGTGATTTCAACAACATAGGAAAAAGAACAACCAATTTTGAAGCATTTTCATTGCAATGGTTCTTTTAGGAGAGTTTTGTGGCAATGGAACAATAAGAATATCTTCATCTCAAGGAATTAGCCAATTGAAACAGTGAACTCAATGCACGTCCAAGTTAAAGCTTGTGAGTCTATGTTGTAATCCGCTCAAATTGAATATATTTTTTTGTAACCCACTCAAACTGAACTAAGCAATTGAAAAATTACGAAGCATAGCTAAAGTGGATACCAATTTAGATGGCAAGCAGAATAAGCATTCGGAGAAATGGTGAATAACTATAGACCAATAAAAAGACTAATTAGCACGAAAATAGAAAAAGAACATCAAAGGTTGGCTTACCTAAGGCGTGAAGATGGCTTAGATGGATCTACATACAACTGGATGCCGGATAAGAAAGGAACATAATACTGTATAATTGAGTCTTTCCCATTCAACAATAGTGGTATGCCCACTCCATAGACACTCCACTCACTAAAAGCTTCCCAGAGATCCCCAAGGCAATAATAGGGATTTGACTCTGCTTCCCTAGTTCTACGGCCTCTTACATTCACCTGTCCATACAAAGCTTGATAAATTGATAAAATATTCTTCATTCTGATGCTATTCATTCTTAATGCAACAAATAATTGCAAAATTAATGCATACCGGTCAAAAATAAAATCACACTTGATTCCTAAACGTGAGAAATGTGAAGAAAACATAAAATCTTGAAATCTAAACCAGAAATCTTAAAACCTTGAAAGCAAATCAAACAGCATTTGCTTCCTAAATATGAGAACAACAACTACTACCTTTACTATAACTATTACCCCTAAATAACAAACTGGTTTGGCTAATATGATTCTTCAATATCCATTCCACTCCAAATATAAAAGAGGAAAGATAACGAAATATAAAAACTTGAAATCTATAAGCAGCTCTCGCCTCATATGCAAGCAAGGACGATAGTTTGAGCAGAGCAAAATGAAAAAGCAAAATCCTGCTACTATAAAGATTGTGTTACTTATAAAAAATAATAATAATAATAATAATAATAATAATAATAAATAAATAAAAAAAGGACTGCTAGTAACTTATAACTTACAAATAAATGAAACAGCTCTTATACCTCAGAAAAATGCAGGGCGGGCACGAAGGGAGTAACAGATTCAATCAAACTATCCAAATTAGTAACATTTACTGGCGGCGGCCGTGGCGGCGAAGCAGCGGAGCAACCGGAGGGCGTTTTCGACAATGTCGTAGTCGAATCGTCCGAGTCCGTCCGGTTCCCAGCCGCCTCAGCAGCAGGCGCCTCAGCTTTATTAGCTGCTCTCTGCAACTGCTGCTGCTGTTGTTGTTGCTGTTTCTGTGGCTGCTGCTGCTGCTGTTGCTGTTGTAATAGCATCTGCTGGTGCCGGCGCATAGCAGGAGGATTGTAGAATCGGTCACCGCCATGACTCCGCGACACCGCGAAGCTTCCAGAACCAGCCATTATTACTCCCGAATTTGTGTGTGTAGTTAATTAAGCTGCTTAATGAGTCTAAAATGGTGAAATTAAGTTAGCGAAAATTGATAGATTTGTGAAATGGGATTGAATTGAAGTGTGGAAATATCAAAATCTGCGGGTTTACTTGATTAGGGTTTTGGAGGTTTTTGGAGGTTGAAACTTTTGTTGATTTTTCGGAGTTTCTGAAGGCGAAAAAATAAAAGGAAAATAAAAATTTAAAAGAAAAAAAAAAGGAAAAAGGAAAATAGGAGACCGAGTTGTGGAGAGGAGAAAAGGGGTTTGAGTCTTCACTTTCATGAGCAGTCGTTTTTTGACGCGTGTATTCTCTTTGCCTTCAACCAATTAGAGACAATGTGATGGACCGTGTTTTACCCCCTCGGTACTTGAATATTGCCATGTCCCCTTTTGGTTCTCGGGTTTTTGCCACAACTTTTTTCTTCAACTTTTCTGTTTGTTGATTCTAACCTACTAAACCTCTCCTAATTTATGACGTGATAAGAAGAAGACTGAAAAATGCAATCGAGCCATGAGTCAGCTTGGTGCGTATCTGCTTCACTAGATAGAAAAAGAATCACCTAATTATCACCTAGTATTTTTTATTTTTGCTGAGATTTCTCTACTTTCATGTCACAAGAGTCATTGTTAGAGGATCTAGTTGGAACTTATCAAGTACAAAGGCGAGCCAGCATATACACTCGGACACCGTGAATTTATGGTTTTTCGCAAAAATTAGATATTTTATGTACATATTTTTTAAAGTTAGTATAATATTAATCGTTGTCACTCATGCTTCAAGAAGTTTGAATGGTGCACTTATTTTAAGGTTGAGTTAATAACCAAAAGGAATATGGATCAATTGCCACCGAATATTGTCATACCTTCGTGGTAGATAAAATATGTGATGCATGATAGACAGAGCTGGCAATTTTAGCCCATACCCGCCCAACCCTTCCAATCTTGAACGGGTTGGGTTAATATATAAAAAACAAATGGGTCTAGCCCAGGTTAACCCATCAAAATTGGATTGTTTTGAGTCAGAGTAGGTATAACCCAATAAGTTCCTTGTTAAATATAATAAATATTAATCTCAAATTAAATAAACAAGTAAAGGCCCCTCCCCAAGTCGTGCTTGCATTTTTCATTGTACACGGCTTTCCCTATGTATACATCAGTTCCTTCAACCCAAACACAAGTGACCCAACGGGTCAAAAACAGCTAGAAACCCAATGTGTAACTTTGGAGATTGGAGTTAAAAAAAATGACAAAATAGAATGATAGAGTAATAAGTAAGGGCATAATTGAAAAGGAAAATAGGAAATGATCCTACCGCACCAAATCGATTGTTTCGTAAAATGGGTCTTTTGGTTGTTCCGGAACAATGGATTTAATAATACGGTTCAATCAATTTTAAATAAACAATCACAACAAACATTGTTTTGGCATAACAATATAGTAAAATATAATGGGTAACAACCATTCAAACAAGTTGTTAACTTAAAAGATTTATACCCAATAATATCCATATTCTTTTATTATATTTATGATTGTATTTAAATTTCAAGTCGAACATGTTATTCTTTAATAATTATTTATTTTATGCATACCTGAAAATAAAGATAAAAGAGTAAGAGAGGAAGTGCAAGCAGGGGATAGCATTTTACTACCTTTAGTTTAAATTAGTTGAAGAAGAAAGCATTCTCGCGATTTACAAAAAGAGAAAATTGGGTCATGTTGGGCGAGCTGGGTTATGACCCGTTATTTGACCCAACTTGACCCAACCCATTTTGACCCAAGTAATTTTTTAGGCGGTTGGGCCTTGCCATTTGTTAATATGATCCGTTTTGACCCGCTTAAATTTGACCCAACCTGCCCATTTGCCACCCCTAATGTTAGTATATATCAGTAGCATTGCTTTAAGTTTTTCTTAAAAAATGGGTTATCTCATCATGCTTTTATATGTGCATGTATATGCCTCAAGGTGTATGGATTAAGTGTATATAGATGATACTTTCTAAAGCCATATGTGGTATCTTGCTATGCTTATCATTAACTTAATAAGTGGTTGGTTATCTAATAATTCTAATGTCAATGTGAGTCTCGTTTATGCTCATGGTACATTACATGATGATCCATTTATCGCTATGTTATCTATTATGTTAAGTTGATATTTTATGATATGTCTCTCTTACTTTTTCTATCTTGCATGCCATATGTGTATGGAGTGAAATCGGTTCGTATTAAATAGCAGCAGCTTCGGTTGGCACCAGGAAGACTCCAAGGGGAATATTGCTAATAAAGACAAACGAACGTTTGCCATCCGATAACATTCAATGAAGAATATTTTGCAGTATTAAATACACAATCCGTTATAGATGATTTTGGTATTCATAGCCTGCCGTTATACATTCATCAATGACCCTCATAATTATCATTTAAGAGGGGCTTGATCCTAGGACCTTGTTCCCTAGGTGCAGCTATAAATAGTGACTTCAACAGCTATTGTAAAGGACACGAATTTTCTGACAAACTTATGCTACACATTATTGTAACCTCGATAACACTTTATTTCTCGTCTATTGATATTCTTATTACTGTCTTCGGAAGCTCTGCTCCCGGAACCAAGCTACTTGTTGTCTTATCTCAATTCCAACGCTAAGTCTTGTATTTTATTTAATTTATTTATCATTTTGGGATCAAATCGATTCGCTTGTCTATAAACCACGTATAAAACTGTACTATTTTACGGGTAAACAGTGTGATGCCCACCGTAGGGCTTAGACATTTGCGTAATTGAGTTGATCCTTGCATCTATTACTAATCTATTTAATTCTTTGATCTTTAGTAAAAAATCGTTAAAAAAAAGTGGCAGATAACGATGTCAACATCACACATAACGTTGTTGCCAAAGGAAATCAGTCTCAACACGAAGATTCGATCAGTGATACCCGTAACGAGGAGGATGTAGCCACGTCGGTCCATAGCGGGCAATACCCACGACATGTTCGGGAGGCAACTCCTGATAATGCTGAAGACGAGCACGTTGCAAAAATGGTGAGAATCTTGAGGGAACAACAAAGGCTATTATGGGTCATCTCTCGCGACAAGGTCAAGTCATGACAGAGTTGAGGCAAGTGTTGTCGGGTGCTTCCAACAACGCGAATGGAAGAGGTCCAGTTCCTCATGGTGCTCTCGCAAACCAAACAACACAAAGGATTGATAACAATACCCCGAGGGATGAAGTCGGCTTCGAGGAGCCGGGGGGAACGACAGTGGGTCTGGTAACAATAATAGGAATTATCCATTTAAAACCATACTCATGTGGTTTATGAGGAAAATAAACGCCTAAATGGATCAAATTCTGGACGCGCCGCCAATGTTGAAAGGACCAGACTCAAAGAAATACACCACTTACCGTTCAAACGCGACACCGGATTTAATCTCGAAGCGGTTCAAAATGCCAGACGTGCCAAAATATGATGGGACTTCAGATCCTCAGGAGCACATAACCACCTACACAACGGTTGTGAAATGAAATGACTCGTCCCCGCATAAGGTTGAGTCAGTCTTGCTGAAGAAGTTCGGGGAGACCTCATGAAGGGGGCTCTGACATGGTATTCACTTCTACCCGAGCAGTCAATAGATTTCTTCGAGATGCTTGCAAATTCTTTAACAAGGCCCATGCCGGGTCCAGGAAGGTGCAGGCCTGAAAGGTTGGCATATTCAGAATTGCGGAAGTAGAGTCCGAATTGCTGCGAGAGTTTGTGACCGGATTTTAGAAGTGTTACACCTCGCGTTTTGTATGTTAAAGTTTCGTCGTAAGTTAATCGACGTAGACTCGGGGATGAGATTATCTTGAGGTTATACGTATTTATGCTATTTATAACAAGCAATAAGTAAGTACCGTGAAGGATAAAGGGTAAACGAATCAAAGAAAATGAGTTTCGTCGAAGGTCATCAATTTGGGATATAATACGATTCGAGCCATAATACCCGCTGTTTATAGACTAGTGCCACACAAGGTACCCCATGACCATGATAGTAGGGTACATAAAGTGTATTAAAAGTGAGTAGTATTTTAAGTAATTTGAGGTAACTGATTAATTATTGGGTAATGAGAGATTGCCTAGTTAATTAAAATTAGTGGGTATTAATTAATAAGCTTGGGATAAGACTTACCCCTCCCCAACGTGGCAAGCATTCCTTATCTATCTAATGACTATTAAATAAGGTGGAAGGGTGTCACACTTTGACAAAGCAAAGTGAAACCAAGCTTGGAATGTGGGGCCTACACAAATATTAGAGATAACATTCATAATTCAATAATATATTCTAGTCTCTTAAGGAACATTTCAACCAAGCTTTCCATTTCATGTAACGCTAACCCTAAACTCTTAAGAAGAGTTTCAGCAAGCTTTGCATTACATAACGTTTTCTAAATCTCTTGAGAAAGAGTTTCAACAAAGATGATTTTGCAATAGCAACGTTATTGCTTTGAGCATTTCATACGGATTGTTCCCTATTTCGATCTCGCTGTTACGTGTTTCGTTGCAATTAACGTGTGTTTGAGGGATTGTCAAGAGAATCGACTCAGGTATACAACAACAACAACAACAACCCAGTAAAATCCCACTACTGGGGTCTGAGGAGGGTAGTGTGTACGCAGACCTTACCCCTACTCCGAAGGAGTAGAGAGGTTGTTTCCGAAAGACCCTAGGCTCAAGAAAACAAAAAGACAAAAGGAGACAATATTAGTATCAGCAAAGAAATCATATGAAAAATAGGAACAACATGAAATTCATAAGAAAGATGCAAAGCAAAAGCGATAGCTAGTAAATAGTTCCTGCGCTGAAAAGTGAAATAGTAAGACACAACATTGCCACTAACTATCTTAGACAAAAATCCTACCAGACTGGTCTTGCAATGGTACAAAGTAAGGAAAGACTCAAACTACCTCCTAACCTACAACCCTAATACTCGATCTTCACATCTCCCTATCCAGTGTCATGTCCTCGAAAATCTGAAGCCTTGCCATATCCTGCCTGACCACCTCTCCCCAATACTTCTTAGGCCGCCCTCTACCTCTTCTCGTGCCCTCCACAACCAGCTGCTCACATCTCCTTACCGGCACATCTGACACTCTCTTATCACACAAGACTCCAGATGCTAACCTCCACTTCATCCATCCTATACCAATATGATGTGTAACATCCTCATCGATCTTCCCTCCCCCTAGATTACCGACCCAAGGTACTTGAAGTTGCCTCTACTTGGGATGACCTGTGATTCAAGCCTCACATCCATGTCCATTTCCCCCGGCTCAGTGTTGAACTTACACTCCAGGTATTCCGTCTTCGTCCTGCTCAGCTTGAAACCCTTAGACTCAAGAGCCTGTCTCCAAACCTCAAGCCTATCGTTAACACCGGCTCGCTACTCATCAATCAGAACTATGTCATCGGCGAATAGCATGCACCATGGCATCTCCCTTTGAATATGGTGTATTAACGCGTCCAACACCGGGGCGAACAAAAATGGATTGAGGGCAGAACCTTGGTGTAATCCCATTTCAACCGAAAAACGATCAGAATCGCCTCCTACTGTCCTAACTCGAGTCTTTTCCCCAGCATATAAGGAACCGACACACCTTTTGCCTCCAAGCATCTCCAGAGAACTTCTCTAGGAACCTTGTCATACGCTTTCTCTAGGTCAATAAACACCATGTGCAGATCCTTCTTTCTCCCTCTGTACAGTTCCACCAACCGCCTAACAAGATGTATAGCTTCCGTAGTTGAACGACCCGGCATGAACCTGAACTGGTTATCGGATACAGACACTATCGTCCTTACCCTCGCTTCAACCACCCTTCCCACACTTTCATGGTATGACTCAGTAATTTAATACCCCTATAATTGTTACAACTCTGGATATCACCTTTGTTTTTATACAATAGAACTATCATACTCCACCTTCACTCATCTAGCATCTTCTTCTCCTTAAAAATAACATTAAACAACCCAGTCAACCGCTCCAAACCTGCTCTCCCCACACACTTCCAAAATTCCACCAGAATCTCGTCCGGCCCGGTCGCTCTGCCCCTACTCATCTTACGTATAGCTCCCACGACCTCCTCAACCTTGATACGCCTGCAGTACCTAGAGTCACGGTGACTCTCGGAATGCTCCAATTTGCCTAGTGCAATATCCCGATCCCCTTCTTCGTTCAGGAGTTTCTAAAAGTAAGTTTTCCATCTCCTCTTAATCTGGGCATCTTCCATCAATACTCTACCATCATCGTCCTTGATGCATTTCACTCAGTCCAATCCTGAGCCTTCTCTCTCTCAACTTGGCCAGTTGGAATAACTTATTCTCCCCGCCTTTTTCCCCCAGTTCCTCATACATACGACCATACGCCGCGGTCTTAGCCTCCGTGACCGCCAGCTTAGCTTCTTTCCTGGCTACTTTATACCTCTTCATGCATGCTCGCCTCTCCTCCTCACCTATGCTCCCCACTAACTTCAGTTACGCCGCCTGGACCATTTCATTCCACCACCAATCTCCTTTGTGCCCACCAGAGACGCCCGTCGCGACCCCTAACACCTCTCTCGCAACCTCCCTTATACAGTCTGCTGTCACTGAACACCTAATGCTCATGTCACCACTGCTCCTCCAAGCTCCCATAGCCGACAACCGCCCCTCCAACTCTTGGGCTTTATCCTTAGTTAAGGCTCTCCACCTGATTTTTGGTCTTCCTCAAGCAGATCTTTTCCTCCTCTTTAACATAATACCCACATCCATCACCAAGAGCCTATGCTGCGTCGCGAGTATCTCACCTAGAATCGCCTTGAAATCCTTACACAGTCCTCTATCATACCTCCTGAGGAGAAGATAATCAATCTGAGTCTTCACCATCGCAATTTGAAAAGTAACCAAATGCTCCTCCCTCTTCAGAAAGCTAGAGTTCGCAATCACCAACCCAAAAGCCTTAACGAAGTCCAACAGCGAGGTACCTCCTCCTTTCCTATCCCTAAAACCGAATCCTCCATGCACTTCGCCATAACCACCAGTGATCGACCCAATATGACCATTGAAATCCCCTTCTATGAATAGCTTCTCAGCAGGCGGAACCTGGCGCACAATCCCATCTAACCCCTCCCAGAAGCGCCGTTTAACCTCCTCATTTAGGGCCGCATGTGGCGTATAGGCGCTAACGACAATTAGGGTGTACTCTCAAACCACCAAATTAATAGTCATCAATCTATCATTCACTCGTCTAACCTCAACTACAGAATCTTTAAGTTCCATATCCACCAAGATACCCACTCCATTCTTACCTCTCTGGACTCTTGAGTACTAAAGTTTATACCCATCTGCAACCTTCGCCCTCGACCCGACCCACCTTGTCTCCTGGACACAAGCTATATTGACCCTCCTCTTCTAAGGATCTTCTATAGACTTATCCATCAATTTACCTACGTTCCATGACCCAATTCTCAACCTATAGACACCCTTGTTCCCTTTACCTCTATTGCCTCCCGTCCCGTCCCGCCCCCTAACCCTGGACCTACCCTATGCCCCACCCCACACTCCCCCCGAGGACATGACCTCACTCGACCATCCCAAACCACAGCCACTATACCTACAAAAGACTAAAAGGAATCACTAACACACACAAGGCAACAGACCAAACTAGGAAAAAACAAGTTGCAACTACAGGAACACTAATACGGTGAATAACTAATACGAAGTAAGATGACAATAATTTATTTAACTAACACAACAATGATAAATAGAAAAACGGGAGGTACCAACTCCCGCTAGTAGAACCTGGGAATTTTCTCGGTATATACGACGATGTTGTGGCCACCTAGCACGTTCTCGTCCACTCCCGCTGCCCCTTGCTGACACTCCCTCAGGTTGTTCTTTAATGTTTGCATGCGCATGTCTCGTTCGCCGCTAATAGCCACAGGCCCTAACCTGAAATACACACAGAATTAACTCAGATATGTTAAGGTTATTCCTTCTTTCCTTTTGGCATGATCTATACGACATGAATGAAATGAGCAAATGCACAACTTTCATAAATGACTCTATTCAAAGGAGTATTAGAGGTGCCTATGTTCTTGAATTCCCATGTATCTTATTATCACGTCTTTTGTTCATGGGTCCCAGAAAAATACGTAGTTGATAAAGTTTATCCGAAAGGTATATTGATCTTAATAACATATTTTTATGCATTTCATTCATTTATACATGCACATTAACCCATGACCCGATGGCGTTATATACACGTATATATATGTAATTATATGTATATGGGATATGGGAAAAGGTTACGGCGTTATATACGCACCACCACCTGATCAACTGGTATATGTTGACGATGTTGCCCACAGTGGCCGAGATGATATGATGGGATGCCCTCAGAGGCTTGATGATGTTATGTACACCTATACCTATGCATGACATGACATTTATATGAACGTGCATGACATTATAAATGTTTTAGAATTTACAAAGTTATTAAGACTTACAAACGAAATTCTTTATTCCATGTTTCATATATGTCTCTTATGTACTGATCTTCATGCCTTACATACTTAGTACATTATTCATACTGGCTCCCTATTTCCCGGGGCCTGCATTTCATGCCCGCAGGTACAAGTAGACAAGCTGACGGTCCCCCTTCTTAGGATCCCTGATCAACGAGAGTTGGTGTGCTCCATTTGATCCGGATCTGCTTTGGATTTTGGTACGATAGGTTTGTTACATGTATGGTTATGACGGAGCCCAGTCCCGTCCTTGTACAGTTGTATATTCTATTATAGGTCTGTAGATAGTCGTGTATAGTTGGGTAGTATGTGGCCTTGGCTTTCAGTTTTGGACATGTAGTTGTCTATAGCAGCCTAGTCGGCTCGCCCCACGTATTTCGCACGTATATGTATATTATGTCTTTTGGACAGGTTTTCCTCACGCATGTTATTCTCATAATTCAGCAGATGTAATCCATGTTTATATCTTAGCTGCATGCTTAAGGGTATTTAACAGGTAGGACTCGGGCACTCGTCGCGACCCAGCGGTTTGGGTCGTGACAAGAAGGAAAGGATGTTGCTACCAGTCGTGCCAGATGAATGGGCAGTTGAGGCATTTACTGAGGGTATGAACCCGACGAGCTTTGACGCTTTCCAAAAACTAAAAGAAAGTCTTCTCGAGTTCCAGGCAACAACACGGGCAAATGACAACCGCTACGAATCAAAGATAAGAATAGAGGATGACCAGCTCGGTTTCCCGGCATCAACCAAGGGTCGGGACCAAAAGAAGAATAAGGAAAATTTGAAGGATGATTTTGACGTAGATCAACAGTCTTCTAAAGGTCGATTTTTGCCCTATGAAAAGGCCGAAGGACACAACAAAGGTTTTCAGTCGGCAGACAGGTTCGCTAGCGATAAGAGAGCTGACCGTGGCTGGAATAAAAGATCATTGTAAGACAAAGAGGTATCTGGCTCACGGGATTCCACCTACCCCAGATTGTATGAGTATAACTTCAATGTCAGTGTAGTGGAACTAGTATGAGCGATGAGGAACATTAAGGCAGCACGGTTCCAGAGGCCGATGGGATTTGACCCTAGTCAGAAGGATCCTAATCTATGGTATAAGTATCATGGGACTAACTGCCACCGGACTAGGGACTGCCGACATCTGCGCGAGGAGGAGGCGACATTGCTGAAAAATAACCATCTCAGAGAATTCATAAGCGACCGGGCTAAGAATAACTACATCCGCAACCGGGATAAAGCGGAACCCTCAAAGACAGGAAAAGACTCTGGGAAGTCGCCGAGGATGATATCACCTTCACGGAGGAGGACACTGATGGACTCTGACTACCGCACAACGATGCCCTGGTAATTTCTCTCAATATTTTAGATTTTAAAATTAAACGTATTTTGGTGGACTTAGGAAGTTCAGCCTATATTATCTAATGGAGAGTGCTAGAGCAAGCCAAGCTAATCGGAAGCATCATTCCGGGCACAAAGCTCCTCACGGAGTTCAACTTAGCAAATGTGACAACCCGAGAGGAGATCCTGCTGCCCACAAACGTCGAAGGGTTCATTAAGATGACCTTGTTTGAAGTAGTAGACGGCGACATGGGCTATAACATTATTCTTGGAAAGCCATGGCTACACGAGATGAAGGATGTGCTATTAACATACCATCAACTTCTGAAATTCCCAACTCCAGAGGGAATTAAACAAATAAGAGGAGATCAACCGGCGGCAAGGGAGATAAACGAGATCTCGATTTCCAGTAGTAAAGGGACACATGTGGTATAGGAATTACAGGAACCAACGCCTCCTCTCGAGCGAAGTCGACAAGGGGGATGAGTCGTCAGAATCCTATCAGGTACCAAGATATTTCCAGGTACCAGAACAAATAAACGCAACCAAATCCACAGCGGAAGAACTCGAACAAGTTGCTTTGTTTGAGAAGTTCTTAGAGAGGAAAGTCCACTTGGGGAGAGGATTAAACCCCGAGCTCGGGTAAGGATTTCTAAAATTTCTTAAATTTACCTTTGATTATTTTGTGTGATCGCATGCGGATATAACAGGTATTCCGTTAGAGGTGGTCGTGCACAAGTTAAGCCTAGATCCCAACATTCCTCCGATAAGGCAGAAGAAATGCCCTATTGCCGAGGTCAGAAACAAGTTTTTCAAATAAGAGGTAACTCAATTGCTTGATATTGGTTCAATCCGGGAGGTAAAGTATCCGACTGGCTATCTAACGTAGTGGTAGTTCCGAAAAAGAATAATAAATTTCACATGTGTTAGATTATAAGGATTTGAATAAGGTGTGCCCAAAAGACTCGTTCCCATTGCAAAATGTTAATCAAATGATTGATGCGACGGCCAGGAACGAGCTGATGAGTTTCCTCGATGCCTATTTCGGGTACAACCAAATCAAAATGAACCCGGAGGATAAGGAAAAGACTTCGTTCATAACAAACTTTGGCACATATTGGTACAATGTGATGCCTTTCGGGCTTAAGAACGCCGGAGCCACTTACTAGAGGCTTGTGAAGAAAATGTTCGAAAAGCAAATAGGGAAAACAATGTAAGTTTACATAGATGATATGCTAGTTAAGTCTTTGAATGCATGTGATCATCTGAAGCACCTCTAAGAAACCTTTGACATCCTAAGGAAGCATAACATTAAGCTTAACCGAAAAAGTATGCATTTGGAACCAGCTCCGGTAAGTTCTTAGGTTTCCTAGTGTCACAAAGGGGGATTAAAGTTAATCCCGATAAAATCAACGCCATTGAGGACATTCCAGGCCAGCTATCAAATGTGAAAGAGGTTGAGAGGTTAACTAGAAGACTGACCGCTTTAAGCAAGTTCATTTCCCGGTCTTCAGAAAAATGCTATCACTACTTCTCGCTTTTGAAAAAGAAGAACAACTTCAAATGGCCTCTGGAATGCCAGCAAGCCTTGGAAGATTCGAAAAGGTATTTATCGAGCCCTACGTTACTATCTAAACTGGAGGAAGGCGAACAATTACTAATTTACTTAGCGGTCTCGTAGGTAGCGCTAAGTGTCGTTTTATTCCGTGAAGATGAAGGTACGCAATATCCTATTTATTATGTTAGTAAAATTGTAACGGGAGCGGAAACTCGGTGCCCACATCTCGAAAAATTGAATGTAGCTCTCGTAGTCGCCACTCGAAAACTTAGGCCTTATTTTCAATGCCACTCGATAGCCTTGGTGACAACCTTTTTCCTGCGGAATATCCTTCACAAACCTGAATTGTCAGGTCGATTGGCCAAGTGGGCAGTCAAAATGAGTGAATTTCACATAGTATAAACCCAGGATTGCAATAAAATCGCAAGTTTTGACCGATTTCGTGGCCGATTTCAGTCCTGGTTTGCTGCCTTTGGCCTCCAAAGAAGCGGTGATGGTGTTGAAAATGACATCAAGAGTCTGGACCTTGTTCACGGACAGAGCTTCCAACGTGAAAGGGTCCGGGCTCGGGGTAGTACTAGTAATGCCCTCGGGAGAAATCCTGAGGCAGGCCATATGAATTGTTCCCTTGACTAACAATGAAGCCGAGTATGAGGCTTTGACTGCATGACTTGAATTGGCCTGGGTACTAGACTCTGAGGTCATCGAAATCAAATGTGATTCCCAATTGGTTGTGAATCAGGTATACAGGATCTTCGACACCAAAAAGGAGTGTATGCAACATTATTAGTGAAAGTCCAGACTCTACTCGCACGATTTTGGGAATGGTCAATCACCCATAATCGGAGAGAAGAAAACCTGGAAGCAGACGCACTGCCTAAATTGGGCTTGTCCACGGAAATAAAGGGATCAGACTTTGGTACGGTCGTATAGCTCGTGGATTTGGTATTGGATGTGGATGGTTATTATGAATTAAATGCAACCAATTTGGTTTGGGACTGGAGAAATGAAATCATCGACTACCTTGATCACGACAAACTACCCGAAGATCCTAAGGCATCCCGAGCACTCCGTACCAAAGCAGCTCGCTACTACTTCAGGAGAGGTCAATTGTATAGAAAGTCTTTTCAGGGCTCGTTAGCCCGATGTTTAGGAGCTTCCGAGGCTAATTAAGTCATGAGAGAAGTTCAGGAAGGAATCAGTAGGAATTACTCTAGTGTGGACTCATTAGTGTTAAAGTTAGTTAGGGGAGGATACTACTGGCCCCGGATGGAAGAAGACGCTTAGGCATTTGTTCAGAAATGTGACAAATGTCAACGCCACACGCCATTGGTGCATCAACCGGCAGAACTACTGCATTCGGTATTGTCACCTTGACCATTCATGAAATGGGGGATGGACATAGTCGGTCCGCTGCCGTCGGCTCCCGATAAGGTACGATTTCTTTTAATTTTAACTGATTCCCTCTCTAAGTGGGTTGAAATAGGTCCTTACCAGAAAAGTGATCGATTTTCTGTGGGAGAATATAATTTATAGGTTCGAAATAACAAAGGAAATAGCCTACGACAACGAGCCACAACTTATAGGTGCAAAGGTCACCAAATTCCTTGAAGACTTGAAATCAAAAGAATCACATCTTCGCCGTACCACTCGAGCGCAAACGCCCAAGCGGAATCGACAAATAATTTGATTATTCAAAATCTCAAAAAAAAAGATTGGAAGCAGCCATAAGCAAATGATCCAAAGAGTTACCGAGAGTGCTATGGGTGTACCGAACAACGGCCAAATCGAGCATAGGAGAGACACCTTTGTCTCTCGTATACGGAGCAGAAGCCCTGATCCCGATGGAAAGGAGAACCTACCATGAGATACTTCCGGGCGGACGAAGAAGCAAACAATGAAGCATTGCTGGTTAGATTGGAGCTGCTTGACGAATGCAGTGACTTGGTGCATATTAGGATGGCGGGCCAGAAACAAAGAATGGAAAGATATTATAATCGAAGAATCAATCTCCGTTATTTCAAAGTGGGCGACTTGGTTTTAAGGAAAGTGACTCAAAATACCCGAGAGCTCAATGCAGGGAAGCTGGTTCCGGCGTAGGAAGGCCCCTATCGGGTTTCAACTATCACCGGATTAGGATCATATGAACTGGAAAATCAAGACGGAGTAAAATTGACGAGCAACTGGAATGTGGCACACCTCAAAAGATACTATTGCTGGTAAACACTGCCTATACTGAAAGTATATGCTACACTCTTTTCCCTTCGTCCAGTTTTTGTCCCAACTGGGTTTTTCTGGAAAGGTTTTTAACGAGGCAGCAACGGAAAGCATACTACAAAGGAAGCACCATCAACATAAATAAGACCTTTAAACGGCAAGGCATGGAAACACAATGAACCACTACGGGATGGTTAGATAGTCTTTGGCTCTATAGCAAAGTTCCTACGGGAAACAAAGCTTGCTATCAGACCAAAAACTATCCGATCGTTCACGAGTGCCCCTTCACTACAAGCCACTGGGGGGT